AACAAGTGGTATTGGAATCTCTAACCGAAACAAGGAAAAATTCATTACCCCGATCCTTTATCAGCTATTCGACCCGTTCCAAATGACTGCACCTTACCCATTCCAATGCCTCCAGTGAACATGTCACCGATGATGAGTAGTGATTCCGCATCGTTAACTTCCCCTGAATTTAACATCTGTGAAAAATGGTTGAATTTATTGAACAATCAGAGCTGAATGACTTGGTACGTGATCTGGGCTTGCCTAAAGATAAGGCAAAGTTGCTGGCATCTCGGCTGCAGCAGTGGCACTTATTTGTTGCAAACAATAAGGTTCATCATCATCATCATCATCAGTATACAAGTTAGCTAGAGGTGTAAAGCACCTCAGCTATTGTGTCGCAATACGTAAAAGAAAAAGAAAATAAATACAACAATTGCATGTCAGCTGAGCTAACAGCGACGGATGGGCGTAGTTCCGGAAAGCTACCAGCCGGCAATACAATACAAAACAATGATTCTCTCTTCAAACAGACACTTAAGTTATTGCATACGGAAAGCAAAGTGTCAAATTGTCCGGTTTCTATGACACGAGAGAAATCTTTTGTTACTGTTGCAACGTGGAAGGATTGATGGAGCATTGTGTGAGGCATATCAGTGATGATTGGTGTTTGTTCATTGACTTGTCCAAGAGTAGACTTAAGGCCATACTGCTCCACAATGGAAGTGTATACCCAACTGCGCCTCTGTTGCATGCCACCAATATGAAGGAGGCTTACGAAAGTGTGCAAGAGATACTCGCTGCACTGAACTACGATAGGTGCTGTTGGAGCATCTGTGCTGACTTCGAAGTTACTGGACTCCTAATGGGCATGCAAGGATGCTTGCTGTTTCTTGTGCTTATGGGAAAGTAGAGCAACTCAACAGCACTACAAACCGAAAAGTGGCCAGAGAGGACGGAGTATGCTGCAGGGAAAAAGAGTGTAAAGCGTACACATCTTGTGCAACCTGATCATATATATCTACAACGTTTGCACATCAAGCTCGTTTTTATTAAAAACTAGCTCAAAGACCTAAAGTGAGATGGTTTTGCGTTCCAGTACTTGAAACAAGTGTTGCAAAAGGTCAGTGATGCGGAGCTCAAAGTAGGGATACTTATTGGGCCTAATATCCGCCGGACAATGGCAGACAGTGCCTTCGAATGCCAGTTGACATCATTTGAGTTGGAAGCGTGGAGATCCTTCAAGACAGTGTGTACAGGAAATTTAGGCAGAACAAAGGCAGAGAACTACAGATATCAATATAAAACCCATTGCAGACTATCAAGCTGTTGGTGCTCGAATGACACTCAAGATGTACTTTCTTCATAAGCACTTTGAACTTTTCCTTGAGAACTTGGGATCAAGAGATGACCATGAGCGATATCACCAAGACATTTCAGCTACGGAGCAGCGCTACAGTGGCAACTACGTTCCTTCTATGATAGGTGACTTGTGCTGGTTTCTGCAGCTTAGGGGCGACGATCTCGGAGAAGTCATCTTTTCCCAGTGCCAAGCTGCAGTCAGCAGTTAAGTGTGAGTGTTACAGTGATGTTTTAAATGTAGTTGCCACATACATGTATACTGTAAAGGTTGTGATTCAGTACATTTACATATAATTCGTGCGAAGTAGCCTTGAGATTACTGAAAATAGTTACTTGTTTATAACAATGTAACCTGATGTGCTGGATAACATCGGAATGCATTTCTATGGTAAGCGGAGTGTGTTCTATAAGGTAGGGACATTGGAATTTCAGTTATACAAAATAAAATTTTTGAACAATGTAATTAGCATCTAGCTGAGATTCTGAAGAGCCCAAGCGACCCATTTGCGCATTCATTCCCTTTGCAAGAACTATGAAATCTGAACTGGTAAAACTACCAAGCATCGTGTTCAGTTCGTGGTAGGAGGTGTACTTGGCAGCATCAGAACCGCAGCCGGTGGGGAAATAAGCGGAAACCATAAACAAACAGCGTCTTTTACTAGTTAGTGAATCGACCTTACTAGATGTCGTCAAACGGGCTGCAAATAAACGGTTGCCCACGAGAATACAATCAACCAACAAGGACCGCTTTGGAGCTGAGAACGATGCCCACCCCAGCTTGACCATTGACTGAGGCATTAGCGTCGCCGGATGCATGCAACCAATAGCGAGAGGAGCAGCTGGTCGCAGTCAATTCAACAACCCCGCGTGGGTCATTAATTCCAGATATGCAGCACACATCAATAGTGTGTCCAACATGCGTGCGAGTGCAGCCTGTTGACATATTTGGCTTGTAGTGTGAATACTGAACCCCTCCAGGGAAACGGGACAGCGTGGCCGTATAAGAGACTATTGCGGATAGGCGTCCAATGCATATTGCGGAACGGTAAGTGCAGATGGTGTGACTCCAATGTTATTACGGCCGCAGTCAATGAAACTAGGAATTGCGGAAAGAAGGCTAGTAATTGGGATTGGAAGGGAAGTAAGAGTGATAGGTGGAAAAGAAAGCAGAGAGGCAACAGTAGTAGCATGTCTTTGCTTAACCGCCTGGTTGTACGTAGCGGACAAGGCGACCCGTAATAATCTGCGCGACAGTCGATGCAGGATGTGGTTGAAGTTTGCAGAAAAAGTCGGTTGTAAGTGAAGTGAGATACTGCCAGGGCTTCTCAGACAAAGACGAAAGGAAGATTAGGACTCTCAACTAAAGCCTTTGGCTCAAAAGCCTGTCCGCAAGATAGCGAGTAGGTGGCAATGTTTTAGTTTTACAGAAATGGTCGCCATTCCATTTCAAAACCTCAACCTGGAGGACCCGGAAACTGAGTTTGTCTGATCTCTAACCACTGACCAACCCGTAGGTGTAGGAGCCCGGACGCACCGCCCGCTCTAGCTAAACAGGTGAAAGAGGTACGCAGACCGTCGCAACATATTAAGGTTCAGTTTCGTTGCGACATAAATGCCATCGGCTGTATGCCGGTACGCAGTACCGACGCTTCGCTGCCGCGCGACCAAGTCAAGTGAAAATAGGGAGAGATTCAGAGAGAGAGATGCAGAGATCAATTTCCATCACCACACTATTAATGGGAATGAAAAAGTGCAGTGATTAATGGATAAAAACAAATAAGCTGACTAATGCAAAATGTTTACGTATCACCAACACAAATACCTAAGCATAATGCAGATGAGTTCCGTTGAGTCCACAAGCAGTCGTGACAAGTACGGTTGGATAGAATTGCGGTGAGAAGCAGCACGAGAAAATACGATTATAAATTTACAGCGCGTAGAAGAAACAGATAGTGCTTTCGACAGATTTCCATGCAGTGGATGGAAAGTGCAGTTGAGAAGTTTGAAGGGAAAGTTAGTGCAAGCGCCTACATGTTTGTTGACACTAAAAGCAATAAGTGCCTCTCTAGACAGTCAACTGCATCTAGAAATAAGTGTTAACGAAAAATTACTGAGGAATAATAAAGCCAGGGAGGCAGAATTCATGCAGTCATAAATTTAAGGATCCGCGAAACCCGAAACTGTGGAGTGAAATGGGTGCTGATACAGCTGCGGCAGCTGTGACTCGGCTATGTCCAGAGAATAACGAATTTGCTGCTATAACTGAGGAAATGTAGTGGGACATTGATAATGAAGCATCAGGAACTAAGATGCCCAAACACGAGTGATAGATAAAAATGGACAGCGGCTCATGCTCGTCGCTCACATATTGCTGCATGTGCATGGGACTCAACGAGGGCACGGAGCGCCTTGTTCGATAAGGTGATGATCCAGTTTAACGCAAATACTCACACTATCAACAGATGATGCTTCCATCTTCCATCAACAGTTCAAGACAGTACGACAGCTGGTGTGGTACAGCTTACGCATAGTCGCAAAAACTTGACTAAACGTGTACGATCGTGTTGTGTTATCGCAAGCCTGACAGTTACTTCGGTACGATGTTCCGGGGTTTTAAAGTGCTTGACCCGAATACCCACAAGACTCCCACTTGTCCCATGATTTTTGATGTCTGACTGGTTTTAGGAACATATTAACCATTGCCAAGGAAGATAGAGTGAACATTTTGATGAGAATCCTAGATTCAGGGAGTGATTACAACATGCAGCCTGCCAAGACACAAACTACTGTCTTGTGTGCGCCCGCAACGCGTGATTCCCCAACTGGTGTGCGTGTTGAAGAAGCGTGTGCTGGCTTCGAATCAAGTTCCTTTCGGACCTGCGTGACTCCTGCGATCTTATTGCTTCGAGTTTGCAATAAATACGGGACTCATGGAAGGAAATGTTGGTGCGGAGTACAAGCCGCTTATGGTCAGCTGGTCCGCTCTTGTGACTGCGAACCGTAGCGCTGAAGGGTAAATGCAGAAAAAGATACAGCCTATTGTGAATGAATTCGCTGAATTTGACTGAATATGTGGAGTGCAAATATTGCATCTAAAGACGTCGATCTAGACTGCGTCACGGAAATCGTGAAAAATTATGTCTACTGAAGACCAAAGTGCTAAGAGTCAGTGCTATCTGCTCACGACTCGGCTCTTTGCCACTGTTTCGTGCTGGCTCGCAATCGTCAGGAAGAAATATTTGAAATGCAACTAGGATTCGAGAGGCAGAGCCTTCCGATTGATACCATTACTGTCACACCACAAAGCTTTGCACGAAGTGTTCGTCGAAACCATTAGATAACTATTGTTCGTTTGATGGGAGTAACCAATGTGCAAATGGAATGTGACAAATAATCTTGGCAAGGGCCGCGATTTACTTTAAAGTGAAGGCCGATCAGTTTGGCCAATGCGAGTACATCCAGAGGTTGTAGCAGCACATGTGAGCTGATCATGAAATTGGAAGATAATGCGTAATAAAATGTTTCGGATTAGCGAGGGTAAACATAAAGTGCACTACTATGTAGCGTACAGTTGAATTTACCAAGGTAATGTGACATTATCAAAGATGGCACAAGGAAAAAAACACAAACTTAGATGATACAATCAGTTGCAGACTCACGAAGGTGGATAGAGTTGACATGATTTTGCAGCGTGGATTTTTCAGAAAACGATTTCTCACAGTATTCACATGTATGAGGGCGCAGATCTGCATATGGAAATAGAATTTGATTGGTTACACACGAACCACATAGAAAAATGGCAAAAGTAAGTAAATAAACGTATTCGCAGTGTGAGTCACATCCACACTCTCCAAGTTAAGGTGTTATAAAGAACATAAGCTTTACAAAATACGGCTATAATGTACAAGCAAAACATAACGTAGCTATTTACTGTTCTGTACGACAAAAACAGGTTTAATACAAACATTCCACTTCGTAAATAGATTGTATAAAAGACAATCTCCGTAGCGGGAAGAAGGCTGAAGACAACCACAATTGATAACGCTATTTTTGAATCGCTACCTTGGTTGAATTCCGCGCCAGTAGGTCAGATTTAGACTTCGACGAAAGAAGTTGCCATAGTCGTTCATGTCTACAAACGTCCTGGTATCTTCTGTAACAGTAACGCAAGTGTGAGCAAGGTTCGGGTAGCATAGGTTATACCTTTAAATCTCTCTTCTGTAGGAAGTGTTACTTAGGTGAACCTTAAATGTGGTGTTTATCATCAATGGGGAGATATATCGTCAAATTGATGGTTCCCATGGGGTTGCCGGTGGAACTCTACATGACGAATGCCTTTATGATGAAACTGGATCATAGCTCATCAACGAGGTTAAATGTGTTTACGTCATGTGGATTACAAGTTTATACTCTGAAAATCGAAAACAGGCTGTGAAACATTTCAAAGCATTAAACGACACAGCAAAATCTGCACCGCACCTGTGAGCACGAGCCCGAAGACCAACGACCATTTCTGGATGAAGCTATTATTAAAAACACCAAGGAATCGTGAGGCAGAAAACCGTATAGAAAACACACTTGGAATAGGTGGTACACCAAATTTTACAGTGCGGTACAACTACAGTACAAGCAGAGTCTAGTCCGCACTCCTGCCTTTCGGGTGCTCAGTATCTGTCCACCGGATACTGTTACCGAGGAACTGCAGATGATCAGCGACACCCTAAGAGCAAATAAGTATACGTAAAAATTCATCCTCAAACATCTGAAAGAACATAAAAGAAAATCACAGAGGATGAGCGCACCAAGAAAGAACTTTTTATGCATTTACCTTACAAATTTAACAAAGTGTTTGATGTTGTGACTAAACGCCGGAAAGACGCTGCTAAGATGATCTAGTTCGTGGCTCGCCTGCGCATAATTACAACAAGCCTTTACTTGCAAAAGCTTTGAAAAATAGACTCGCTCCACTGATTCGATCAATGCGTGTTTGTTAGTACTCGTGCTCCTGCGGTGAATGATACGTGCCTCGTAAGGCGCCCATTGTATAAGATAGGCAAACATACACCGGAGTGGCTTTACAGAGGTGAAGTGAGGTCTAAAAAGAGATGCACCATGGCGCACCTCGTCAAATACGGTCACAGGCTCTGAAAACGATTTCATAGTCATGTATCTCATTCCTGAGCGATTCACGCGCAGATTAGGGAAAAAAGCCCCTATCCATTGCCAAAGTTATCTATCTCTATAAACAGAAGTTCCGGGATATCTCATCTCTTTAATCTTATGAACGAAATTATGATAAATGACTCTGATCTATCACTCTTCCGCAACCGGATGGCCAGCTGACATACCTTGAGTAGGCGGATGACATAGCTCTCCTCGAGTCTTATGCAATAGCTATGCAAACAGTGCTGAACAGACTGACGTAGCGTGTACGCTTCAGCATGTGCTTCGCATCTGCAAAGTATAGGCACCGTTAGAAGACTGGACTGAGAAGTCATCTGTTTCAACTATCACAGAACAGTCACAGGAATTGGTGGATCCGTGGTGGACCCTGACAGTTGCGTCCCCTATGGTGGTAATATCGCTGAGGAAGTTACACCGCGGATCAGCAAGGCCTATGTGCCGTTTCAGAGGCTAAACCATCTATGGAGGCGGTGGGATATCATCTTGTCAGTGAGAGGTAAGTAGTATAGCGCTGCGGAGACCCTACAAGACATGACGCAGTCGTGTAGTCATTGACATTCCTGTACTCGTTATCTACCATCTTGTTGTTAATTTTCATTCCATCCCAAATGGTTTAACGTAATTCTTTCCCTGGTCCACTTTCTTCGCATTCCATTGGCGTTCAGCTTCATTATTTTACCGTGGTTACTTATTGTTATTCTGGTGACGTGAGTCGTGGCAACTGGATCCACCGCAATTCGGTACCCGGAGCATGGTTGTTCAGCTATACTAGACTGATACGTTCCGAGGGAGTCCGTCAACTATATTACAAAAGCAGCTAATACTCATTCATTTGGAATAATCCTTTGCGCCACCGCACTCTAGTCAAACATGTACCATCGGTGAATGGAATTAGCTGTACACCGGTGGGGAAGGCACATGTCTAAGCTAGTTCCTCCACATTTTGAACTCGCATAGTTTAGCTTGGTTATACTAAAGCTCGAATACCTGACACATGTTAATTGAACCAATTGTGTAATGGCTAGTTGGATGCCCTGGTTGCATATGGCCCCTTTTCAATTCACCTTGATCCCCAGTGCATCACACCACCTCCATTTGAGTTACCATCCGTCAGCAGAACCGATGCATTCACAGCTCGTCACCTATGCGTTACCTCGGCCGATCGCGCAGTGCATACGTGCGTGCGTGTGGTTCGTTACTTCAGTGCGCTCACTGGCCCATGCAGGACGCCGACTTGGGACTTAGCGCATACTGTCGCCTATTTACACATACATGCATGACTAGTCGTTCTTTTGATATGCTTCCATTGCTGCGTACTCGTTTCTCATTCCACTCGGGCGTAACAGAACACCATTAGTGCATGGGAAGGCTGGACATTTATTCCCTTGTATTCTAACCGGGCACCTATAACATACAGGTTTGAACACAGTTTCTTACCAAGTTGTTGATTCCAATTCAGCGAACGTTCTGCTGCCCACGAATAGTGAATACAATGTATTGCACGAATGGTATGTTCTCAACTATGATAAGCGCACTGTAGTCAGTCACTCTACCACTGTAGGCACAGACCATGAATTCTATCGGTCAAACAGAGATGACACTTTCACAAGAGAATAATGCACGCGGTACAAATGATTAAAACATCCATTCGATTGAAAAAATGCACTGCGCGATGGACTTGTGATGTAAGAACGGTAAAACCATGAGCACCGACAAGCAGCAAAGATTATGTTACCGAAGCTAACCAATAACCCTAACGATGCAACAACGCGAGTGAGAAAATCAAGAGTATATAAAGCCCCTTAGTCCATACTCACCCAAATGAACAGATCTGAAGTGTCTGTGTAAAGTGGTTGTCTGAGTAAACGATTTGCCACAGCGTTCGCATGGATAGGGGCGTTGATCTGAATTGTAAAAAAGAAACTGAATAATTACTAATGAAGCACAAGATGAAAATAGATGTGAAATATTAAACGATGTTTTAGAACAGACTCATACATGTTGTAGTGTACCAAGGCATTAATGACCGACATGCTACAGGAAGATGAACGATTGAGCACAAAGTCGCCGCTGAGAATAATCACCTGAAGTCGATGTTATACGCGAAGCACAGGGCGTGGAAATTCTGTGTTATCCCCGCGCATCTAGATGCATTCATTAAGCAGAAAGAAGGCTCAGTGAAAACATACAGACCATCAGTTCCTGCATCCCACATATGCAACGGCATTTCCAAAATGCTACATTCGCCTAGTCATCTGATATAATTAGAAAGTCATATGCGTTCAGTTCAAAATGATAGCAGCATAAATTACTTGATAATCACTGAACGAACTGCACATAGTGCTTCCGCTCAAGTCAGCAATTAATCGTAGATCAATGCAGCAAATCAACTGACTGCCTAACTAACCATCGCCTGGATAAGGAAGAAAGGTTTGCAGTTCAAGTACTGAGCTCGAAGAATCACCCGCTACTAGCAGGTGGCGGTTTGGATTTCTGAACATAATATGTCCCGACTCCTCATTGGCAACTACAAGAATGCTATGCTTCGTATACCGTGCACGGTGAAGATATCACCTCAGATGCCTATTGCAGTCGGTCAGTCCATGCGTTGATGGTAATTCCTCATTAGAACAAGGATTATAATTTGTCCACAACATCAACTGACATCCAAGGTGCAATTCATTTGGTATGGAAACATTGACACTGAGGGCAAGTTTAGTATGGTTACTCGATTCGCAACTGCGATGTTTCACGCTAGACCACGGATCTCTTGAAATTGGATTTTCCTACTGCCAATTGTGAAAGTCTCTAGAATAGTTGGGTAGTACTGTTTTAGTAATAGCAATCGGTAGTCTCAAGTTCGGTAATCAAGGTAAAGCTCAGTGTTCGTTTACGAAACATGGGTCAATTCCCATCCATTTAGTACAGCTATTCAGTTGGCACCTAAACACACGCCCAAGACGCATCAACAACAACAATAATAATAATAATAATAATGATATAATAATAATAACTATAATGATGATAATAACCAACCCCGCGTACGTAAAAGATTTTTCCCCGAAAGCATACATTTCAGTTGACGCATTATGACGCACCGGATCCTACACCTGGGCCACTTACCTATGTTGGGGCCGCTGCTGCAAAAAAGCAAAAAGCAGCACATGCGGACACCAGTACAAACTAGTGGCACCGGATTTGAAGCGTATCGCTTACCCTCTATGCTTCGGCTGGTGAGATATTGGAACAGAGACGCTAGTCGAGGTGAAATCGGTGCCGGAATTTAAGAGATTCCTTGACGCCGACTTTGCGGACTACAAGTATAGGGAATCTATGGCCACCGAATAAGAAGCAGTGCAGCTGTGACATGCTGCCACCGCGTAGTAATCAACAACGTGATTCCGCGCATGTGCCCAATCCATCTACGATGGAGTAACACAGATTTTTACTTTCTCGCTCTCCATTTTCAGTATTCAGTTTGCTGTGAAACTAGCGAACCAATGTGGGACGGCTGCAAATCAATCTTATTTCTCCCCCAAATGGCACTGATGGACATACAGATCTCGAAAGGATGATGATGATCATACGATCATTCCACTAGACATGCAATGCACACAATACACGATCCTCATTCGATTTACGTAGTAGTAGGTGATTTGGAAGAAGTGGACAGTGTGCGATGTGAGAATAACGAAACGATGAGCACTGACAAACAGAATGGTTCAAGCCACCGAAGCCCCGTGGCGTGATCAACGGAAATGATAAAATCAAAAAGAAATAAAGCAACCAATTTCATACTCACCATAATGAACACGTTTGAGATGCATTTGTAAATTATCCTTTCGAAAAAATTGTTTTCTACAGTGCTCACATGTGTAAATCCATTGCTCTGGAGCGGGATACAGGAGGAAGGTGTGGATGAACCACACGGTTAAAAGTGGTGCAGTATGATGAGTGTTCACGAGTTGTGGTATAAATGGTTTACATTTGAGAATATACTATCTACAACGTCAAGTGCGAATGCTATAATTACCACAAAAAGCAAGAGATAAAAATGAAAGTTGATGTGCACGACGTCTACTGGTAGCAAGCATCTGGTACCAGCATCAGGAGCTAGCTAATGTGCTTACATTATCCATTATTCACACAAAGTTTAAAGGAAATCCATTGGGACGATAAAACCAACGGGTGAGAAGTGCGACCAGTGCAGCCGATTAGCGGGGAAACACACTTCTGGTGCACCTAACACAGCAGGGCCAGTTCTGTTGTGATTCAATTAGCTGTTCTGTTCGTTTCGCAGATTCTTCTGGTTATTCCGATGTGTTTAGACCATTCTGTTGGTGTACAATTCCGGTTGTGGAATGACCTCGTTCTCTGCAAGCTCTAATCTGAGCCAAAATAAGAAGTCAACTGCTTGATACAAAAGAATCTTCTAGATGTAGTTACAAAAACTGACGCGAGTAGTGCGGAAATAAAGGGATATTGATATATCAACCTAGAAATGTTCGCTTTTGGAAATAGCAAGGATTGCTACCAAAAAGAGCGGTGTAGAAACAAATCCGACCAACGAGGAAGTAGCTCACACGTCATGTGATGGACGTGAAGGCTCCTGAAACAGTCGAGACCACGGATGAACATAACTGCCTCAAATCGTTTACTAAGTGAAATAATGACATTTTCTGAGAGATGATACTTCCTCACAAACAGCTCTACATCGACCCTAGCTGCGCCCTAGGATGATGGTCCCGCGCAGACTTGTAAACTTAATGACAACGTCCGACTGTCGGGCCATCGCCTTGGTGGAAATACCTCTGGGCTGTCGGCTGTTTCATTCGGTTGACGACACCCTACATAAGTGGAATCAGCTTTGCGATTCAAAGAGCACATCACAAATGACATCCCCAAGGTTTATATTTGACGTCGCTTGGAGTTCATGCTGCTGCGTGGTCATTCCAATAGTTAAATGAAAGCGCAGACTCTCACGGCGTGTATGAACATCGCACTATTCCGCATAGTCGATTGAATTATCGCCTTATTTTTGCGGTTTCTCTCCCCGTATGAAAACCCTGGGGCTAGCCAAAGGGTAATCAATAGCATGCGCAGTCGCCTGTATGTCTTCAACCTGCGAGTAGCGACATCGTTGCTTATTCCGTGTTTGTTTTGCTGGAACTATTTCTTAGTTGACTCATCGGTGCACTGAAATTGTTCCGTGAAAATTTTGTCATAACACAGTTTTAGTTGTGATTCTGAAAACTTTGGACCGTATTTTTTCGAATGCAACTTGTCACAGATTTCGGGGTTCCGTTTCGCACAATCTTCCTTACTATTTATGTACCGCGGAGATCGCCCATAATAGGCAGCGCGTAAGGTCAGAGCACTCGGACGGACAGTAGGCAAACCCCGGTACTGGGTGTGAGTTCGCGTGTACGGTCAACTCTGCTTCCTTACCGAGTTCGAAGTATACCGCACTTAACGAACTCGACAGTACGGATTGTTGAACAGGTGAGTCAAATACTCCCCGACCTTGACGGCAACAAACCGGCTAGGCCTAACGAGCTTCATATACTTATTCTCAAGTCCTTATCGGCCATCACCTCACCTGCTGTGACTGGCCTGTTTAACAGATCGCTATCCGATGGGCCACTGATGACTAATTAGAAATGCTCGCCAGTAAAGCTGATTTCGAGAAGTGACACCAGAAATAGACACCACCAGATAGACTTGTCTGATATCTATTTTGGTCACGGGAGTCGAGAAGATGATGAAAGATTTGTTGCAGGAGCATAAAGTGATTCCGCGAAAATATGTACCTGCAACACAGGCTCCAAGACTCGCCTTTTGCCAAGTCAGTAAAAGCGCTCGTGCGAGAGGCCTATCTCTATTTCACGGATCCGTCATGAGGTAGCGAGGTCACATTAGTCTCGCGTGGGTGTGTCACTCAGTTGGCAGGGTTCGCGCTCATCGTCTCTACAGCGACTAGGATTCGTGGAAGCGTAATCGGTCCGAACTGCGCCGCAACGGCACTAGCACAATACGGTTTCATGCTTGGTTGTTAATGCAATACCAACCTATTGGTAACTAGGCATCAATGATTGCAGATAGTGAACCAGGGTAAGACGTTCAACAAGGTAAACCATGTGGTCCTGCTGCACAGACTGAGTGTGCAGTGTTGACACCCCACTGCACCAGTCCTTCAGTGATTTTCTTAGTGGACGAAAGTGTAGGGCACGTATCGAGGGTCATTTAGGTGACTGGCATCCCTCGACCAGTGGTGCACCCCAAAGCACGGAGGCCTACTTTGTCCCTGATTTATACCAACGATTTACTCACTTGTTCCGGTCACCGTGAGCCCTGGGTGAGGACGACCTGAAGATGTGCAGTGATTAGCACGCCCGAAGAAAAAGTTTCACTCCATCGCCCAGCCAACCTACCCAATTCGGTATCCATAAGCCTATGAAAGGGTGGTGACGACTGAACCTACACTCTGGATGACCAACTGCTATATACCACACTTTTTGTGAAGAACGTAAGTATACTCTCACGTTGCGATGTGATGTTTGTGGGCAACACGAACAGAATACACCCTCTGCTCTCTGATAATAGCATGAATTGATATGTCGTAAAAGGTTTTCTTTTCACGATAGCTGTACTTACCATTGTTTTTCATCGTTTTGGACAGCTTCATGTCTGTTTGTAGACTATAATATATAGATAAAAATATTCATCGATGGAGTTGTACATATTTCAATTTCCATCTGGTCCATATTATTCAGCGCTTCTGTTGGGAACAGGCTGTTCGGTGCATGCGGGCTCCGCGTAGAGTAATACAAAAGAAGAAATCTGTCGATCACTTCATCTATACACTCCACATCTATCGATTTAAGAAAAGCTCGCTTGAACGCGTCCGCGAACCTCCCCGCTTGGTCATTCCATTGTAGATGAGATGGCGGTGAGCGAATGTGCTGAATCGTGCGTCGTTTGCGGAACTCTGGGGAAGTTGCCGAAGCGAACAGTGTGCCGTAGCCCGTTACAAATGCCATTGGAGAGTCGAACCCACTGCAGTTTTGACACAGTCTTGATCCAGTGGCGTTGATTGTTGCGCTATACATGAGAAGCACTCCGGGTCATTTGCTCTAAGAGCCGACCACAATGAGAAAGCTTTGGTCATTGATCGGTCTTGCGGAGTCGATATGAATATGGTATTATGGATTCGTAAATATTTGCCATGAATGGAATCGCTTTTTGCAGTACCGTAAGAGTGATGACACACTTCTGGCCAGTTCCCCTAGCTGCCTGTTCATGAAAAAAAACTAATGGACAGCTGCGAGCAAGAGCCGTTGTCCGGTTGCTGCCAGAATAATCTGCGTGGAAAGGCCGATGTACATGCTCTTGTAGAGCCTTGAGATGACACTCTTCCCGAAA